GTGGACTTTCTTTTTGGGGCCTTTTGTTGGGTATTTTTTTTATGTCTTTGGTCATTGGTATTGTCTGGGGAAATTTAGAGCGAGTCTGTGGCCAAAGTGTGATAAATATGAAATAAAATGCGGGGGAGTTGCATAATTGCCAAATCGGGGATTTCAATTGACGTCCATCTAGTTGGCATTGAAATTGAAATGCGGGAACCTCGAGATCGTTTCAGGGCTTTTTGACCACAGCACTCAACCAGTCACTCGTTCATTCACTCAATCGTTCAATGATGGATGGACAGTTGTACGCTAAATATGATTGATATCCACACAAAGAGATAGATATCTCTCGAGATCAGGTCATGATTTCTATGGTATGAATATTCAAAGAGATCTGCAAAATAATGAACAATCATCTCAGTCCCACCATCGATTCGTTTGGCCTGCTGGCAAGATGACAAAAATCAAACTTTAATGGGGCCGCAGTCATGATCCAGCCACAAGATACTTTTCCCCCACGGATTCCTAATCACACATTTCACCGCTTCGTATTTGACTTTGACTAATTTCAACAGCTTAATTAAGTTAATTGCATCTCTTTGACAAAAACCTCAAATTAGTTTGGTCAATTGCGGGGGAACATGGGGGATAAGTTCTCAATGAACCTGATATACTCTACACAAATATTGAAATTTAAATTATTAAATGTTTTTATTTTATGGTAGAATGATGGTATAAATATACCCTTAGTTAAACTTTTCTTTAAATTGTGGCAAATGCTAGGAATCAAGAAAATACCCAACATATATAATACATTTTAAATGATTGCATGGTTTTTATTATAAAATATACCATACAACTTTAAAGGCCTATTCTTTTAATAATTCAAAAACTAGCATATACTTTAAGCATATTTTCGAAAAACTAGCAAATAATAAAAGAGACCATAGATATGTTATGAATTGTAAATGATCATGTGCTTTATTTATTTATGGAAGAGTTATGGTATAAAATAAACACTTCGACCAGGTGTGAGATACTTTTTTAAGACTTGATATTTTGAACTTATTTCCAAAAGTAAGCCGAAACGGTAAATGTTTAAGGAGAGTTTGAACTTTTTGCAATATTTACATATTTTCTTTCTATAAATGTTCTTTTATCTTTAACACTATAATACACCATGTATACCCCTGGGAAAGAGTACATCATCTTGAGCATTAGACGTTGACAGCAGTGAGCAAGAGGCAAATAAATTAATTATGTTAATCTGTTTACATGTCAGCCGCATTAGAGCCTTTACCTAAAGCCACTTTTTCGGTGATGTCTCGAGTTTCGTACATTTCTGTGTTGTTTTAGTTAATAAAGCAAACACCTGTCGCACTTGATGCCATTCTGTCTCCTGTGGACACGCATATGCATCGTTGACAGTGTCAAACTTAAAACGCTCAAATTGCACAAACTTTTGACAATCATCAAGGCCATGATGATGATGATGCTGATGGCCATGATGGTCATGATGGCGGGTCGAGGGATACTCGCAGAAAATATATAGACGGTCCTAGACATCATCAATTCTCGGAGTCAGAGGGCAGGGTTGAGGATAAAGACCACAAAACACTTGGGAAGCCGAACCGAAAGTTTCTGCGGTTCAGCGAAGAACAGTGGGTTCAAAGTGAGCTATGGTGGATAAAAATGTATCTATCTCTTATATGTATCTAAAAGAAAGGATATTTAGGACTAGTATCTTTAAGGATCTCTAAAAATGTAAGGTTAGGGTAAGATGTTGGATGAGCTATAGGTTTTTAAATAATAATACTAATACTAACCAAATACGATTTCAGGATTCGTAAAAAATAAATTCAATTAAAAAGAAATTATTTTTAGAATGATTTATTCCGTTGCTTTTCTTCGGAATTAGCTTAGTAAATTTATATTTTGCTAGCCTATCAAATTTGTTGGTCCTATTCATTGAAAACTTCTTATTACTTCATTAAGATTTCTTGAATTGCAACAAAAGTATAATTTTTTTATATTTTAATTAAAATATAAATAATTTTAAAAATCATTTCATCCGAATCTTTGTTTGGGATTGTTTTACATTTTTTTCTTTTGTTAATTTGTTGATGATAATATTTTTAAAACCTTCTGCTGCCTTTTCTAAAACCCTTATTTATTGACGTTTGAAAGGAGTTGGTGCCACTGTCCATGGTAACTGATGTTGATGAGGCATCGTGCACTTTAAGCAAATTAGTTACGCAGCTCATGTTCGTGTGGCTCCTTATGGTCTCACCCTGGGAAAAACCGAACCGAAAACCCACCCATCCGCCGATGTGTTGGCAAACAAATTTAATAAATAGCTAAACACACAAAAGTCACAACCCTTTGTACCAGCAAAATAAAATGGGGATGTGGAAGGATGTGTGGGGATGGGAATGAAATGGTTCTTCCGCCTGTCAACAGGCAACACAGCCATGGAAAACCCTCTACCCAAACGAAAAAGAAGGTCCTTTGCCCACTCACCATCCAGTCAGCCAGCAAACCACCCACCCAGTTAGACATATTCATATTTACTCAAGTTTATGGTGCCTTGTATTTGTCTTTGGTTTTTGTCATCGCCGACATTGCGGATTGCCACATAAAATATAACACTTCATTTACAGACCCTCGTTTTGTCTCCTTTTCTTATTTTTCTCCTCAAGTGGAATTCTTTCAACGCCCATGTACCACTAAGATTGGGTGGGTTTTTGGATGGATGGTATGGGTACCAGTCGAAACTCTGGACAGGCCTCATAATTTATATGCTAAACATATTGGGCTTACATGGATTACAAAAATATCGATATACATGCCTACATTTTCATGTTACACACTTTGTGGACCCAAGTTAGTTGGCTTTTGTGCCGGTTACAACAGAAACTTTTGGCCAGAGGAGTGGCTTCTTGGGTGCGGGGCTAATGAAAAGGTTAAGACTGAGGCTTCGACTGCCAAGGCTTACAATGTGACTGGTGTCAACCGGAGTGGTGACCCCGACTTGCACCCTCGTCAAGCTGTCGCCACGTATTGAAAGGCGAAATACCTAAGAAACTGCCTAAAATATAACAGCGACTTACCACTTGAAAATAGAGGTAACTTAATGGAATAGAATTGATACACTCAATGAATTTAGAAACTTTGATCTAAACAGGAATTTGGAAGAATACGCACTAATGTATATAAGGAATCTATAAGCAATGATCTATTATGATCCCAAATTTGAATATCTATACAGTGTATAGTATACACATAATAGGTTCAATGGAATTAAAGGAATCTATATTCTATGATCTAATATGAGATGATCAGAAAATTGTAGTCCTAAATTATTTTGTCTATCCTATACTACGTATGTAAATATTTATATATAATAAAATAAATAGAGTAAAACTGATACAACCCAGGAATCTATAAACTGTGATCTAATATAAGACGATCATGAAAAATTCGAAAACTTCAATTTGGCCATATTTGGCAGATTCATACAATTTTGTTTCTTCAAGGTTTCTTAAGATTTCTTTACATTTCTAGAAATTAAGCAATGCTTACTTGCTCACAATACCACATGAACCTTAATGATTAATAACCAAAAGTTCAGCCCCTCGAAGAAGTCTTTCGCATTTAACCATTTGCATTTTGCCAAGCTCATCCGACGGTGACCCCAAAGTGATCCGCAGTTCAACTGGTGACCATGACGTTGATGATTCAGCTGTCACACCCACCCGCCGGTTAAACTGACCTGGCTTAACCCATTAGGTTGCTCTTCTCGGTGCCACCGAAGCATGCCGCCGATTCCCATGAAGCGCTCAGCGGAGCATGAACCGTTCACAGCCCATTGCCAACATGGCTAACCCTTCCCCAGGGGCCCAAGATCCAAGATCCAAGACCCCAGACCCAGGGCCTTCGTCTTCTTCAACTTCGTCTGGTCAGCTGGCCGGGTTCCGGGAAAACACAACTCCCTTCCTTATGGCCAAGAACAACAGCGGAAGGCACGACTGCCACTTTAAATATTGTTTTGACCCAAAATCTGACGGTGCTCCGACCACTTTCGCTTTAATGGGCCAACAGATCTCACACTTTTCTTCCTTTTGCTTGTTCCCCTTAATTTCAGATTAATTTTTTTTCTATGTTATGTTTTGGAATTCACAAGTGCAATAAAAACATTAATCCGAACCAAGTTCCTGTTTGCTTTAAACGGAACCATTAATTGAATAATGGAATAAAACAAAGTATGTTCTTTTTCAATTATGTAGTACCCTTAACAAAATAGAAGAAAATAAATAAAACATAGTTCTTATAATAATTTGGTAAAGCAATGATAGAATAAAGAATTTACATAAAATACTAAAAGAAGAAATTAAATAAATAATAGGTATTGTAATAAAATAAAGAAAGTGCACAATATATTAAAAGAAGAAAAGATAAAAACATGAGTCCTATCATAATTTTGAGAAAATTTTGACGTTCTCATTGGAGTTTAAAATGTTCTTAAAAACAGAACGACAGTTTTAAAGTTGAATTGGCTGTATTTACATTGTATATCTCATAAAATAAACTATTAGTCGTGTCAGTAGTGTAAACTTATTAAAAAGTTGATAAATAAACTCAATTTAACCTTTCTCTTCACAACATTCCATTCTAATATTGAGAACCAATACCAAAATGTACTTACACGGTTTTTAAGAACGAATGTTTTCAAGAACAATGTACTTGAATATTTTTCTCTGTGTACTTAAAATATTAAGGGAAGCAAAGATATAGAACATAGGTTTTATTATGATTTTGTAAAAGATTCATCCATCTCTCACATAATGTTTAAGATTTAGCCCAGATCGAGAAAATCAACGTTGGATACTATCATATCATAATATCATATTAAGTGTTTGTTGTCTTTTTTAAAGGTCATTTTATATATATATATTCTATTTCTATCATCCAAAAAATTGTCAAACTTTTTTTTTGATAACTTTATAAAGGGGACTTACCCATGCTGAGGTCGATGATGATGGACTCGATGGGTCAGAATTCGCTGCTGATGACTTTGGATTGGCAGGCGGCGTTGCACGGAGACGTTCGTTGGGTGGCAGTGGTTGTGGGTATGGGTGGTGCTTCCGTTTCCGCCGTTCCGGCCGTGCCACAGTGGCAGCCGCTGAACCTTTTTCACTTCCGGCGAGAGGCCGGTGATTCGAGTGGCCGCTGCACTGGCGCTCAACGGTGATGTCATATTGGCCAGGTCGCTGGCATCCGTATCCCCATCCTCCTCATCCGCCACCGCACCCACCGGCCCCGCCTCCTTTTGCCCCGATGGGCGGCTACGTCGCGGGGGGCGTGGCAGTGGTTTGGGGGCCACACGACGTCGTTGTTGCAACTGATTGGAGGTTGCTGTTGCTGTTGTTGCAGTGCTGGTTAATGTGGTTGCTGCCGATCGGCTTGACTTCAGTTTGATGTCGATCAGGCAAGGTGGGTGTGGCAAATTATTGTTATTATTATTGTTATTAATATTATTATTGTTGTTATTGTTACTGATGTTGCTATTCTTATTGTTGTTAATGCTCTGCCAATGATGTGCCTGCAATTGCCTTGATTGCATTTGCTGCTGATTATGGAGATGATGTTGATGTTGCAGTTGATGTTGCTGTTGCTGTTGGTTTGATGTTGCTGCTGCTGTTGCTGCTATTGATGTTGCTGCATGACTCGGCGCCGAACGAAGATCGTTTAGCATTGTGTCCAAATCGCTGGCCAGCGAGCTGAGCAGCTGCAATGATATAGCAAACGTTGGGGTTAACGGAGAGTTCGTTTGACAAGCCTCCAAATCACTTGATATATGTATGTACATTGTACAACCTAATGAATCGCACAATCGGCTAGCCCCAATACAATCGTCAAAATTGACCAACAGTTGAAGATCATTATGGGGCTATTCATTTAAAAACAGGGAAGCACTTGATAAACAGTATAATATCTTAACCAGTCAGTTTTCATGTTTTAAATAGGATTATTTTAAAAGTTTGTTCTGCTAAAAAGTCGGAATCTTGGTAGCCATGAGATTATTTATGCAACTGCAATTGCTAAAGAAAAACCTTCAGTTTGTAAATTACCCAACTTTACATATAAAAACACTTCCTCTTCAGTTTTTTTTATGACCCAACCACTTTATTACTGCTTTTCTGTTGCTATGTGGTCTAAAACCCATAAAAACCAACGTTTAACTTTAAAATAATTACAGTCGTTGGGTATTGATTACATTATAACAGTTTTTTTAGCCAAGCTATATAAAAGATCTGTCAATATTCCATGTTGAGAAAGATATGGGATTTTTAAAATCAAAGATTGAAATAAACTTAGATATGGGCACACTTTTAAACAGATTCTTTGATTTTAAAAAGAATTTATCTATAGTTACTTGAGGAATAGTTATATATATGATCAGTGATCTTTAGTACCATTACAATTTTAATCAAGAATAAAAAAAATCACAATGTATAATCTATAATATTAAGATATACATATGCCTTTCATTTTTCTTAGTGCATTAATCGGTGGCACTTGGACTTAGCCTTCGGAACTGGGTCCGTGAGGAATTTTCGTAACACAAACAGTGGGTTGGTCTGGGCTTGGGAACTGGAGATGGAGTTGGAGTTGCAGGGAGGTTTCCGGGGAGGGAAGTTTCCGAGGTTGGGTGCCAGGGTGCCTGGGTGCCTTTGGTACCTGTCCAACTGGTCTTAACTTCCGGCGGTCTGTGGCGAGGCCGTACTTGTGTGTCGATCTCCAATAATTACGCGCCACTGTCTCGGCTAATGCAATAATAACGGGTTTTTTCGCCGGTGTCCCGTCGATGTGCCCCCAACCCAAACCCCCCCTGCCAATGAGCCACCACCCATGTCTGCGGTGGCCCCATGTGCAACATGGTTAACGTTAACCATGTCCCGAGTGCCAAAAAGCAGCAAGGCAACGTCAACCAAAAAAGCAAACCGGCTCCCACGCTCTGTGCTAATTTGATCTCCACTTCTGTTTCTTGCTGTCTTTTTTCAGTGTTTCGGTATTTATAAATATTTCTATGGTTTTTTCCAATTTTTTGTTATTTTTCTGAGGTTTTTTTCTTATGGCCTGGAGTTGGCGAGTTGTATGCAAATGCTGGCCAAAGAGTGAAATGGAAAAAATCGGGGAATGAATTGTTGATGTGAACCAAACCGATGATCGCTGCCAAAGAACTGCAAGCTCAGGCCATATAAGGTGCCTTTCGAAATCATCATATGTGTATCTTTATCTAAAATTTATATAAGATCCTTGCATGCTGCACCTCTTCAGATCATTTAAAAAAGCTTAACTCTATAAAGTCTAACTTTTAATTGAAGCTAATACACGTTTTATTAACGATTGTATTCAACAAGGTTGCATATTTATAACAAAAGATTTGTTTGCTAATGGTTTCTGATTAAAAAACTCATTAAAGCCAAAATTTGAAAAGTCCGACAAGCGTTTTGAAAGTTTTTGGGGCCTTATGACACTTGCTTGATTTTTGACTAACTGACTAGATTTATTTAAAAAAGACTAGACTTATACAAATTCAGAAAATGTTGTCAAGCTGTATATAATTTTATTATAGGTTGCCATTACTTTTTAAAATAAGTCCAGTCAGTTAGTCAAAAATTAGGCAAGTGTCATAAGGTCTTAATAACTTAATTCTGAAAATTGTCCCCAATCTACAAGTATTATAATTTATTTAAGCAAAGGGGTTTTAATAGAATTAGAACTAACTGACTAGATTTATTTAAAAAAGATTAGACTTATACAAATTCAGAAAATGTTGTTAAGCTGCATATAATTTTTTATAGGTTGCCATTACTTTTTAAAATAAATCCAGTCAGTTAGTCAAAAATTAGGCAAGTGTCATAAGGTCTTAATGATTTAATTCTGGAAATTGTCCCCAATCTTAAAGCATTATAATTTATTTTTAGCAATTAAAAGGGGCTTTAATACAATTATCTAAATGCAGGTAACATTTTTAACCAACTCAAGGATTTGTTTATTTTGTTCCTAAAGTTTTTCCTGATCCGCATCGCGTATACGCCCCGTTTCACTCCTCAATTTTCCAGCAGGAAAAAGAGCGAAACGAAAAATCAACTTAAACATATGGATTAGCATGTAATATGCCACACTCGCACACTCGCACACTCGCACACACCCACACACACAGACAGGGATTGAGACAAAGACATAGACAAGCCAGCCAATTGAGCAATTGCCACAGCCAGCAAATTCAAATTGAAAATGTGGGCAAAACAAGCAGATACAAAAAAAAAGGAAATAAAATAAAACTCAACCGCAGAGTGTCTTGTTTGAAGTACAAACAAAACTTCAATTGGCTGGCGGGGAATTGGGGAATTAAAAAGGGGGAAAAGGGGGCTTTTTCAGTCGGCAATTTCAATTTAGACATCATAAAAACGAAACGGAGAATCGCAAATTATTCTGTATAATATTGCAAATTAAATTAAACAAGCCCCCGGTGATCAATCTGTTTTAAACCCCCCCCCTCACTTACCGCTATGGCATCCATCATTGCATTGACCATTTTCCTTATTTTCGTTGAGATTTCTTTCGCTTATCCAGATATATATCTCCTACTCCTCACCGATTCTTCGGTCTTGTTCTGATGATATTCTTATGATTTATCCGACAGTCGGGCAAACATTTTGCACAATTTCGTTTGGTTTAAATACTGGATTCTCGGTCTCCAGTTTCGAATCCAATTCATTTGGCTCCTCGCAGTCTTCGGCTGGATCTTCCTGCTCCCCACCCCTCGGATTTGTTGACATTTAATTAACGACAGGTGGTGGACCGTGATCCGCGAACAGGGACTGGCAATTGTACGTGCTCCTTTACCTGTGGGCAGAGAATTTAGAAAGAGTTATGGGTTTTAGTGGGAACTCTGAGAGTGGGATCTGGAGAAGGCGTTTTCAGCCGATAGCATGGATCGCATACATATCATACTTAATAACGAATGAAATTCAATTAAATAAGCTTGAAAATGATAAAGGGATTGGTGAGTGGGTGGGTATGATTTATAAGAAGTACAGATATGTATCCTCTTAAGATAAAGCGAAATCATTTTGAATAACTGCAATACGAATTTGGAAAAGGAAAATAAAACCAATTAATATATCATTTGAAATGTTCAAAAATAAAATCCAAGACATTAGGAACTAAAAGATCTCTTACAAATTAAAAACTCCTCAAAATACATTTAAAAGTATGCAACAGTATATATTCGATGCCAAAAGTAAAAAATGTAAAAAAGTAATCACTTATTTGAATCTTTTTAATGATAAATCCAAATCATTTTTGATAACTGCCATTAAAAGGAAAATAAAACCTATTTAATATATTATTTAAAAAGCTCAGAAATGAAATCCAAGACATTAAAATTTAAAACTCCTAAAAATACATCTGAAAGTATGCAATAGTATATTTGGTGCCAAAAGTTAAAAATGAATATAAGTAATCACTTATTTGAATCTTTTTAATGATAAATCAAAATAATTTTTAAAAACTGCAATTGATATTTTAAAAATGAAATTATAAATCGTTCAATATATCAAAAAAGTTTAAAAAATAAATCCAAATTAAAGTCTCTTTAAAATTGAAAACTCCTAAAAATACCTCTTACAGTGTGCAACATTATATATCAGTCCAAAAAAAATCATTAAATAAATAAGAAATATTTTTTTAATACAACAAAATCTTTAAAAGTTAATTTTTTCACTTTATTTTGTTATAATAATTTCTGTTTATTTATATTTGTATTAAGCAACAAAGCATTATGTTCCATAATTAAATTAGAGATAGGGAATAATTTATTTTTTAAGAGACCTTTCTGGCATTTAAATTAATTTGTAGCACGACCGAGTGCAGTAAAATTTCATGAGAGAACAAAAGGCGAATACTTCCTAGATACTTTCAGGGACAGTCATTAATGTCATTCCCATGACTCCAGATAGCTGCAAAAGTGTCCAGCAGACAGACAGCAGACAACATCTACTGGCAAATGAAGTATTAAAAATATTAAAAAAAAAGACTCCACGCGACTGTCCAAAAGTGAATGTACATATCTGCAAGATACATTCATACGTTTTTTAATTAAAACCCGTGCACGAGCGATTGCTCTGCCCCTTGTCCAAACATTGGCCCGAAGTTTGTTTGACAATGTCCGAACCCGAACCCGTACCCCTTACTTAAGTTCGAATCCGAGTACGAATACGAATCCGAATCCGAATCCAAAAACCCCATTGCCCTAACCCCGCCACGCATTTCATGGATGGTGATAATGGCGATGTAGATGTTGAAAATGAAATAGCAACAGAAACCGAAGTTAAAACTGAAACTGAAAACCGAAATAAAATGAAAAACTCGTTTCACGTATTTTTCCACAATTTTCCGCATTTTATGCTCATTAATTACATTTTCATTTCAATTTCTGCATTTACATAACCATTTCATTCCATCTGTCCGCTTAACTTGTCCCTCTCGTTGACTCGTTTTTTTAATGTTTTTTTTATTTTTTTTTTGCTGAACTGGCTCAAAAAGCCACGAAATTCCTCGGCCAGTTGACGGAAGTTGAATTGCAAATGACATTTTTCACCAGTTCAGAGATACCCAGATACAAGATACGCGTGTGTATTTTATATATACGAGCGTATCTGACGAATATCAACGGTGACAACCAGAAGTTTTGACTCCATCCAAAATGCATTCGTTGTCGAGCGCTGCGCAACATTTCCCAAAGTCCGAATCCGAATCTGAATCCGAAATCGCTGGCAATCAAATGAGGAGCGTGAAAAAAATACAAGTCAACGATCTCCGGCGATCTTCAAAATGAGGGGTACGCAGCTCATTACAATAGCTTTAAATGCATACAAAATGAGTGTTTTTTGTCTTCGAGCTGTTATTTATTTAGCTACCTCGCACCTCCGCACTCTGGCTGCATAAATTGCCGATCAGATATATCGATGGGGTTTAGTGGTAATGTCGGACTCAAAATGGTATTGTACACAAAATTAGCGGAGTTGCACGGCGAGCTATAGAATTGCTTCTGGCGAAAAAATGAAATTTAATTCTGAGGAACCAACCTGTGACATATTTTTTTCTGTGGAAGCATTGCTTTTTTTATTAACATCTCGCATTCGCTTTTGTTTATAACTCTTGTGCATTGGAATAAACCAATAAATGTTAAAACGAGGAAGGTAATAAAGAAATGGGTAATTATGTTGTTTATAATCAGATTGTGAAATCATTTGGATCATTTACATCACAAATACTCTGCCTTTCTCATTATCATAACTTCATATTATCGTTTTATCCAGAATAACAATAAACAGTTCTTAAATTATTAAAAGCCATGAATTACAATTTTAAAAATGGTTAACTTTGGTTTCTCAAAAATATTTATATATTAATGGAGTTGCTTAAGAATAACGCAACGTTATAATATTACTTTTTTGAAGGGTCTACTACCGAAACTAATATTTATATTTCTTTCGCTAAATCAAAACAAAGTCTTAGATAACCCTTTACTAATCCAGTATGATTATCATCCCAAATATCTTGCAGATCCAAACAGGTCTTCGGTTTGTTTTCAGACGTTTTGTTTACCACACATTTTAGGAGCTCATTAACCAAATGTGAAACAAGAGTGGACAGACAGCTTTGCCCAAACATCATGACCAAGAAATATTTGAGGCATGAAATATCAATAACAATATCAATACCATACGAGATATGGCGCTCGGCTAACGAGGCTGTCGATAGGATCGATCTCTTTAGGGTTTATCAATATCGCTGGTATGTGAATATTTCGGTTTCGCTTCGGTTATTTATTGAATTTGTGTTAAGGTTAAATAGCAGCGTGAAATTGAAATGAATTGTGTGTTGTGTTGTGTTGTGTCATATTATAGCGTTGGCTTTCCGAGATACGGATAAACAAGAATCTCAAACGAACGAGCAGAGATTTCGGCGGGCCTACGTCTAATCTTCTCGAAAGAGTAGACAGACTTTATCGCTAGGTTCTTCTGGCCTTTGTGCCGGTTTCCCCGATAAACCAGCGCTGCTCAAGTGTAAATTGAATGATAAGCCCCATCAGTGGGTTTCGAGAATCGGAATCAGAGCCACAAACTCTGCACTCCGATGATGATTGCCTTAATGATGTTGACGATGATGGGCTGAATGGATGGATGGTTGGATGGATGGCCTCTCAATTTCAATTGGGCCGAAGGTGATTTCGTAGCCAAGGCGAAATCGATCGCACTTTGTTGCCTATCAATTGAGTTCTGGAGTAAGTATGGCTGCACAGGGAGAAAATGGTGGGGCAATTCATATTTGAAACTACACATTTCTTATTATTTAAGCCGATCTACTTAAAAACTTTGAAGTACTTTCTTGATATACTTTATTTTTATAGGAATCTCTTGCATATTTTCTCACTGTGTATTTTCAGAGTGGCACTCGCCAATTGAAATGCATGTGGGTCATGCATCCAATGGTTCCAATCAGCGAACAACAAGTGTCCCTTTAATTAATCTGCACAATTGCATTGGCGTCACTGCAATCGACATGCGATATGCAGTCGTCTATCTGGCGTAATATAGCGTATCTATGTACCTACATCTATATATCAATAGCTGTAGATACGGGCAATGCAGATCGCGTTGACCAAGGTCAGTTATCGAGTGGTTAGACCAGCTCAAGATAAGTTCGGGTTTTGAGTATCTGGCATAGCTGACGGATAGCTTTCATCGCTTACCAATGGCTTTCTGGCCAGAGCGAAAGACCCGACTTTTACTTTCCACCAGACACAGAAGAAACTACTGGCCAGGCCACAGCCAGCCGAGAAAAACAGCAAACAAACAAACAAGCCAAGTTCCAAGTGAAGGAGAGACAATACAATGACGACAGTTTGCACGGACAACAGTCTCAACCAGGACAGCCAACCATACCATATCATATCAGCAGCCGTGGGCAAACAGAACGCACCAAAAAAAAAAAAAGAAAGAATGGAATGGTCGATCGTGCCGACTTCACGATACCCATTGCCAGGTATTTAAAAGTATTAAGAAAATAAAAAATCAAAATGTATGGTATCTATATCTATGCTTTAAAAGAATTTGATAAAGACTATATCCTATCTTAACCTATCTATGCTTTAAAAAAAGGTTATAAATACTATACCCACAATATAAGGTCTGAAATTTTACCAATTCCTTAAAAAATAATTTTCTTCAGTATAGAAATTTTCTATTGACTATTTTACTAATGTGGTTGGGTAATTTGCTTTATTTAAAAGAAAAAGTTTTTAAGGAATAGACCATATTCTACAATGTATCATTCTAAAATAGAATAATCCCTAATAAAACCAAACCTATGACAAATTTCTAAAATTCGGAAAAAAAATTGGTGAATAAATTGAAAACTATTAATTTACGATTCAATAAATCCAGAATTTTTTACAAAAAGTCTACAAATGTAATGCTTTGGATTTTTCTGACATTATTTATATGGTTTATATTTGAAATGATTTTTAGTCTAAAATTATTTAGGATATTTGTTTTATCCTCGTATTGTTTTATTTTATTCGTCAAGATCTTTATCCCATTGCATGTTGGCTCGAAAATGCAATATATCATTTACGCTCGGATCACTGGGTATGGAGGAAACATTTTGTTTGCAGCGCATGGCAACCGAGAAGTGGCACCAACTTGCTGAAATCTCGAGGCGTCCGAAGAAGGAGGCGAACTAGATGAGGGACAGTAGGCGGACGAATACGAAAGCGAATACTTATAGGCATACGAATACGAATACGACTACGAATGCGAAGGCCTTGTTTATGAATACGCGGGCATTGTCTGAATGCGAGATGGAGATGCCGACATGGCACAACCAGGAAGAGGTGGATGTGGATATGGACGTGGATGTGGACGTGGATGTGGATGTGGATGTGGATGTGGCTGCGAAGGAGAATTGGCTGGCCAAAAAGATACACATCAAATATAGATACTTCTGCGCTCACAGATACAGATACAGATACCGAAAGAGATACCATGGGCTGTGTGTGTTTGGAAACTAAACAAGAAAATATTGACATATAGATTAAGACTTATTAAGGGAGCTCCAGCTCGGTAGTCGACATCAGATCGCTGGGAATGCTGAAGACGGGCGAAACTGTGATGGAGAAATGTGGCATGTTGCATGTAGTATGTAGTATGTAGTATGTAGTATGTGGCATGTCGCGTGGGGTGACATGTTGCCCGATCTGCCGTCTGCCGCAAAAACACGTGCATATACTATATATATAGAGGCCCAGATACAGATAGCATAGCCATACCCACTTGAATTGAGGCAGGTTCGAGCGTCGCACACTCATGGCCAATATTTGCCAGCAAATATGGTCGAAATCTATATTTAGACGCTGACGATCCGACAATCGCCTGATCGACAGGCCGCCGATCAACGATCCACGATCGACTATCCACGATCCACAGTTCCCATCCTCGAACGTCTTCACCCTATCTATCTATCTATAAAACCCAAAACCGGAGCAGATCGCTGTTAACTGGCTTTCTATTGGAACAGTTGGGCACAGCGGTTAGCGCAGATAGCCGAAAGCAAAACAAAGCCGAAACAAAAACAAGAGTGAGACTTTGAGTCTTTGGGAGCAACTTGGCCAACTATTTTGGCTGCTGCGCCCACATGGATCTCAACTGGTGCTAAAAACCGATCGCCAAAAAACTGATCGCACAGCCAATGCAGCGCATTAGTCAAAGCTGACTTATTTTGGCAATTTTTTCGCTTTTTTTCTTGGTTAGCCAAACTGATGCGAATAATTGTGACGCGATTGCGGCATTTGGTGTGTGGGTGAGAAATATTATTGGGGAATTCAGCTGAGATCATAAGGGCTTCTGAATGAAGCAATAATCTTACGGTATTTTATTAAGTCCTAGTTTAAGATGGCTTTTATTAGAATGTGGTCACCTATAAATCAACAATTAATTCTACGATTTATTAATGCAAATATTGTTATTATATATGATTTAAGTCCAAAATTATGTAGAATCGTTTGCAAATTATCCATTTTAAACAGAAAATAAGACTGAAAATTTTAATGAATTTATAAAGACATATCAAATTTGTATATACAATGCGTATGTTAAGAAATCAGTATCATTATATCATCAGTATATACAATACATATGTTAAGAAAACATTTTTGTAATCCAAAACAAAGGCATACAATTTCACTAAATATTTATGTAGCGAAGGTTCGGAACCGATTTTTCCTAACTTAAGCTTAATTTAGCCCCATGTCCACAGAGAAAGCAATTTAAGATCAAACTATGATCTAATTATTACTATAACCTTAAGTTTATTAAGGTGTGAAATGATTGATGGAAGTCATAAGCGTACAACCAACAAATGAGACCCAAAAATCTTAATAACTACAACCTGAACATTAGTTATTAGAGTTGGGAAAAAGTTATTAATTGGAAAGCACCAGAAAGAAGCCAAGAATAACTGGACACGTAGGGGGTCTTATACGGTGGTATACCAGTAATTCATGCATACATATATTTAAATGACCATCGAGATAAGCTAAAAAGCTAAGATATATGAGTGGATTAGGAAGCGTACACACTATATGCGATGTTTCTACACAGAGTGAAGATCATTAGTGGAGTAAGCCACTGACGATCGCTATCAACAGACTGGAAAGGCAAACAGATACAAAGTCGGGCAACTCTACCTGAAGAACTGACCAGCGAAAGCAACCCATTGATAAGAACAAGACTATCTAAAGCTAATAGCTGTGACAACCGCAAATTGCATGAGAATTCCATATCAACAGTGGGCCAGGGGAAGGTCGGTGGGGAAGTACAGGTAGTGAGACACAGGTAATGACAGTAAACATTCTACAGTTATCAGCAATCTGATGATGCACGCACAGAGAACAAAATAAAGAATACTTAGCATTCAAGAAATAGTTAATATCATGGAAATAATTCAGTTGGGAACTATGCTTTTGAGAGTCCCATTTAGACTAGGTCATAGACATTGAACTGAAATCTTATGATCTTAAATATTCATTACTGAATAATAGTATAAGGCATGAAATCACGTTTAAAATATTTCATTTTTTATTGTATTAATACAAATATTTTCTTGGAAATACGATTAGAACATATATTACTGTGTTTTCTAATTTTCGAGATAACATTAAGATGACACAGAGCCAATTAAAATATAAAGTGTAATTTATTTTTTCAAGATTGTAACATTAGAACTCCACAAGATGTTTTTTCTGTGCACTTGGGGACAACCACAATGAGGTAATATATACCCGATTCTGCGGTTTTGGTTATGCTTATGGTTTCGGGCTCGGATTTAGGTTTTGTATTTTTGGTTTGTCGGTTTTGGCATGCGATAAGGTCTGGGACAAAGCCAATTTGTAGAGCTGATTTTACAGGGGAAAGGCGGGAAATTGAGTGGAAGTGCTAACATCAGCTGATTAGCCATTTGAGCAATTCGCAACAATCCCACAAATTATCAAAATTTCAGCTGTTTGTCATCAGGTGTGTGATAGCGAGAGGGCGCTGCCCGACGGGAGGAAATGACAACTTCGGCAGGAATGCGAATTCGAATGCGAAAGATGGTATATGGTATATGGTAGGTGCTATAAGGTGGACTGCTGCGAATACCTGGCCGATTAGCAATCCACTGTCAAAATGCATTGAAAGCGAAAGACGACACCAAAGGAAACGCGGCCCAAAAGGTGCAATGTACTGAGTGGGTAAAATAAAGAGAACGAGCCAAGAACCAACGCACTTTCGGCCAGAAAGAGAGAATCACTTCTCACTCGAAGAAAAAGCAAGCCTTGTAAAGCTGAATGCAAATTTTTAGTTCTATAACTCGAAACATATTTATGATATAGTGCCAAAGTTCGTATTGTAATTTCCTCTATACAGACTTTTGATTCCAAAAAATATATTAATGTATTATTTTTCTTTGCCAACTAAAATTTAACTACACTTTAATAAATATTTAACGGCCTTACAAATTCAAAAGCTTATAATATTTGATTTTAAAGACTTCATAATATTTATTGTTAACTTAAATTTGTATATTTCAAATGGTTTTAATTTCTGGTATGCAATTTTTACCATAAAAACAGCCTTTAAATGGGCTTTCTTTACATTGTACTTTCACATTTGGTAACCGATAGCCAATTTTTTGGCAAGAAGAATTATAGAAAAGAGGAAAATATAGAACACTCCCAACTTTTATTAACTTTTTTAAGGTAAAAACAAAATATGCAAAGTTTTAAAAATATATTCCTTTAAAATAAAAAAACAGATAGTATTGGCATTTTATTGAACTATTGAGATTAAGATTGTTTTAAATATGCACTATTTTCTTTGAGTGCAAAAAAGGGCAAGAGATAAAGAGAAAAGGCGAAGAGGAGTCCGCGTGGTCGCTGAACTTGAACTTGCGAAATGATGGGAATTGCGGGGTAATGTAAGTAGAATACGATCATCACTTTCAATAAAATTACCAAGGGAACGCCAACGCCACCCAGAACGAAACGCTGGTACTTAGGAACTCCAGAACTCCAGAACTCCAGAACTCTATAGATGGGATCTCTGGAACCTGCTCCAATTTTTTTTTTGTGCGCACTCGCGATCACTCGCACTCACTCGTCGGCAAACTCCACTTCACTTTTCGCACTTTACTTTGCTGTTGGCTGCTGTTGTTATTAAACAATTAAATATAAATAACAGCGATGTGGTGCAAAGGAAAAAAAAATTGAAAATAAAAATAAAGACTAGGGGAGAATACAAAAAAGTATGTGTATTTAATTGAGCGCGACACGCAGCGATCTTGTGCGACACATTATTTATTTTCCTTCTAGCTGCAGCAATACTCGCGATTGTCTAGCGCCGAAACGCTGGTGACTACACGGAGCTACGGCTTTTCGGATTTGGAGCCCCGGTATTACTACGGCACTACGGTCTTTCCTCTCTTTTCCTTTGGCGGTACGAACGCGACGACTCCACCGGGGACCCACCGAAACCAGCGAAACCACCGAAACCAACCGACTGTCTGTGGCCGAGTGCGAACTCGAACTGAACTGAAGCCGCCGACAAAACGAAGATCGCCGCCAAACGGCGACGCCGGCGGCGCAGCAACAACAGCAACTCTGAGCGATAATAACAGCGGCAACAGCAACAGCAACATCAGCAGCAACAGCAACAGCAACAGCAACAAGAACAACAGCAACATCGGCACAACAGCAACATTACGAGATGCGAAATGATTGCGCACTGTGGTTATAGATCTATAAAACATAATATACCAGGAGAATCCAACCCCGATCTAGAATATAAAAATCTCTGTTATATGGAGGGATATTTAAAAAATGTACCCTTTTTCACTATTTTTGTTTCTCAAATATTATTGGGTGAATTAAAAAAAATATACCTGGAGAATAGAATCTAAGTCTAGAATAAACCAGGAGAATCCAATCCCGATCTAGAATTAACAAATCTCTGTTATATGGAGGGATATTTAAAAATTTTACCTTTTTCACTATTACTGTTATATTAAATGTTTGTTTCTCAAATATTATTGGGTGAATTAAAAAAAATATACCTGGAGAATAGATTCTAAGTCTAGAATAAAACAGGAGAATCCAATCCCAATCTAGAATTTAAAAATCTCTGTTATAGGGAGGGATATTTAAAAAAAATTACCTGTTTCACTATTACTGTTATATTAAATGTTTGTTTCCCAAATATTATTAAGTGAATTAAAAAAAATATACCAGGAGAATAGAATCTAAGTCTAGAATAAGCCAGGAGAATCCAATCCCGATCTAGAATTTAAAAATCTCTGTTATATGGAGGGATATATAAAAATTTACCTGTTTCACCACCTGTGTTTTATACAACGTTTGTTTCTCAAATAGTATTGACTATTATGCTCTTTGTGATCACAGATCCACAAAATAGAATAAACCAGGAGAATTCAATCTCAATCTAAAATTTAAAAATCTCTGTTAAATGGAGGGATATTTTAAAAATGTACCTGTTTCACCACCAGTGTTTTATATAACTTTTGTTTCTCAAATAGTATTGGCTATTATGCTCTTTGTGATCACAGATCCACAAAATAGAATATACCAGGAGAATCCAATCTCGATCTAGAATTTAAAAATCTCTGTTAAATAAAGGGATATTTTAAAAATTTACCTGTTTCACAATCACTGTTATATTAAACGTTAGTTTCTCAAATAGTATTGGCTATTATGCTCTTTGTGATCTCAGATCTATAAAATAACAAAATTAAAAAAAAATATACCTGGAGAATAGAATCTAAGTCTAGACTTTTAAAAATCTCTGTTAAACTGTTATTTAAAGAACACACCTGTTCAATATCACTGTTTTATTCAATAGATAAATATATAATCACAACTCATTCTAGAATTTTAAAAATCTCAGTCTAACGGAGATGATATATTTAAAAAACCGTCTCGTTTTATTAAACTTTTGCTCTTAAAAGAAGTGTTGGATAATTCTTTTTTTTTGTTATAGATCTAAGCAATAGAATTGATAATCAAATATTACCAGTAGAATCGAATCTAGAATCTAGAACTTTAAACATCTCATTTAAACTGAGGAAAGATATTAAGAAACCCAATCGGTTCACCATCACTGTTTTATTAAACGTTTGTTTCGCAATTATGCTCCTTGTGGTCACAGATCTATGGAATAACAAAATAAAAAAAATATACCTGGAGACTGGAATCTAAGTCTGGACTTTTAAAAATGTCTGTTAAACTGAGGGATGGAATTTAAAAATCCCACCAGTTAAATATCACTGTTTTATTAAATATACCAGAACAATCAAATCTCATTCTAGAATTTTAAAAATCTCAGTCAAACTATGATGAGATATTTAAAAAACCGACCTGATTTATAAATCTTTTACTCTTTAAAAAGTATTAAATATTTTCGTTTTTTGTGGTCACAGATCTATTGAATAGAATTAACAATACAATGTTACCAGTAGAATCGAATCTTAATCTAGGATTTTAAAAATTAATTAATTAAACTGGGAAAAGATATTAAAAAAAAACAATCTCTTGACCATCACTGTTTTATTATACTTCTACCAGCTTGCTTCCATTGAAAGTATTGCGTAATCTGTCGTTGAAACATATTGATAACTCCACTGTGGTCACAGGACTATATAACATTTATTTAGAATTTTAAATTTACATTTTACTTCGGAATATTCTGCCAAAAATATTTATTTATTAATTCTTTTTTATTCATTTAGAATTTATAAAAGGTCAGCATTAAATTTGGGTATATTTATGTCTAATTCTTTTCCATAAAATTAAATGAACAAATTAAAAAATGTTTAAAAAATTAAAATTTGTATCAGTAATATTCAGTTTAAGTTTCATAAAACGAAAAACTTCAAATATTTCTTACTAATGGCAGTCCCATGGAATGCCAAAAATACTTTGGTTTATATTAATGGTATGTTATTTATATTTATAATTTTATTTGTTAATAAACTAAATAGGAAATGCACTGTGGCTGTAATGTCTTGTCTAATTAATTTTTTCCAAATGCTCCAAAAGCAGTATTCTTCCAACGGTTGCAGTTTAAAATTGAAAATTATTCTTCAAATAATTGCTGCGCCGACAGAAAAATAAAAACGCAAACCATAGTTGAATATTTTGCGAAGGGTGCTGATTTACACACTTTGCAAATCAGAAAAGGTGCTTGTAATTTTCATAAATGTAGGCTGCCCCAAATACACTAGGTACCTAAAAGTAGATGTATTTTTTTAGGGAATTATTTTTTTGTGGTCTTTTGTTTGGTAAAATCAAGCAACGGCATATGGAAGTTAACTGGTATTTTTTCACATGGTAATGCTGACCAAATCAATATTTATCGTTGTAAAATGAGACTTTGCATTGTCTGAAAGTTATGACACCTACAAATTATAATTGGCAAGCTGTTCTTCTTGTCTTTCGTAATTTACTTTAGCTGGAAATTGGATTTACTGTCTCTTTTAGATTTATTTTATTGTTGCCGTATGCTTGGTCTATTGTTTTGACACCTGTTGGTTTTATGATCGCATAGTTAAATCATTTGTAAATGTATATATTTTGATACTTAGCAAAATAGAAATCATAATGTTGTATACCTGAATACAATTTTATTTTTAAGTGTAACTTTTTAAGCAGTGGCGGGTCCAGAATTTGGCTTGGAAGGGGAGGTATATAAAAAAAATTGTTAAGTAGAAATAAAATTAATTAGAATAATTGTATTAGGTTTACTTAAAAAATTTTAACAATTTTATTTTAGTTTAGTTGTAAGTTTTAGCATGATATATATTTTTGCCAGAAGATGGTACATGCAACATATCATATGTAGATAAATGCATTTTGAGGGATGTTACCTTGGCTAAAAGAATAGGATCCATTATATCTTATTCAAAGTGTGATTTGTGTGCCTCACTTGACTGCCAGGTGTTCCCATTTTTTGCTCCCTCATCCACTTTTTTTTCACTTCGATTGTACCCCCCTTAAAAGCACCCTCACACTTTTTAAACTCAAAACGCGCCGATTACCGATCGACAAATACCGATTACCGATCGACAATTACCGGTTACCGATCGACAATTACCGATTAGCGATCACACATTTTTTCACTTCGATTGTACCTCCCTTTACAGCACCCTCACACTTTTTAAACTCAAAACGCGCCGATCGACAAAATCGATTAATGATCGACAATTACCGATTACCGATCGACAATTACCGATTACCGATTAGCGATCGCACACTGCTTTTTGGCTAGTTCAAATAAAAGAAGCTTCTGTTTCTCTTTCTGGCCCTTCCATTTCGACTTTCAGGTTTTCTTGCCACCCCACCCCATTTTGCAGTTTTGTTGGTGGAAGGCCTTGCATCGTGTCGTCGATCTCATTCGCAAATTATCTTTGTTTGCGAAATTGTAATTGTTTTTGCCATGCACAACTCAGCAAGAGAACCAAGAAAATAGGGCTAGTTTCGACGGCCGAAGGTGAAATACCCTTGGTCCTGTAAATATACATATACCTTTCTTAAATTTGATTCTTCAAATAAATCACAAATGGATTTTTAAAATATTTTGTATCTGGTATTAGATGTTATTTTTAAGAGCTGTTATTGCAAAGAAGGTTTATGTGCATGAAGATACAAAATGCGATTCAAACCAATAGCAAAATTTTTCAGGTGACACAGATCAAAAATAAATTAACTTTTTATGCGTTGTGAACTTTTTCTGATATTATAGTACCCTTAATTAGAGTATTAAAAAAAAAACACCTTAAAGCACTCGGAAAAACACAATCCCAGCGGTTTTATATTCATTTTAATATTTTATGTACCCCTATGAACATTTAAAAAATCCTCAAATTAAGAGAATGCAGATAATGAGAAAAGTATGAAATCATGCCGCTTTGCATTGGGGTCTAAAATAATTTTTAAACCAACATTGTAGTGCTATTTTTTCTCAGTGCAACCGGAGTGCTCAACAGCAGCAGCTCTACTATTGTTATTGTTGTACTCGATAATGGCTTTTCTGTTTACTTTTTGCTCGTCCCCAAAAGCGGGGCGTGTTCGTTGCTTTGTACTTTTGTTTTGTTAATAGTTTTTGTGGAGCTGCTTAGTTTTTTTTTGTTGTTGTATTATTTTTAATATACCTTGACGAACATAGGGTACTTACATTTTTAGCAGATTTTCGCAAGGCACGAACGAGGCTAGAGTTTTTTTAAAAATACTACTAAAAATTTTAGTAGCTTTTTCGAGACGTATGAGAAAATTGGAAAACATTTTTAAAATTGTTTAATATGGTACCATATACTCTTAGCCATATCTTTAAAAGCATAACTTATTTTGTATACCTCCCGAGGTGATTTATGAGCTCTCTTAAAAAACAGAGGAAAAAACTTACGGATCTTCGCAACCCACGGACCACGGATCTACCCTATCCAAGTACTTATTTCTGGACTGTGTCCCAGTAGCAAAACATTAACCTATACTGAGTCTGAGCGTCAGATTCCGATTCCGATTTCGATTCTGGGTTTTGTGTGGGTCGCGGATTGTGGATTGCCGCCGCTGGGGACTGTCATTAAATAGTTTGCTTTTCGCTTTTTATTATTACTACTTTTCTGCTATTGTTTTTATGTATTTGTTTTCTTAACAATAAAAGATGGGTGAACAACAAATGGATCACATGAAAGAGAAAACAGCAACCAAAAAGCGTTCAATTAACAGTTTTTGTGGTTACTGAAAATAGTTGAAACTATAGGGTAGCAAATGATTATAAACCTATAGAAATGGGCTTTGAAGGGGTATATTGATTAGTAAGGTGGCCCATTTGTTCCCTTGCCTAAAAAGTGTTCTTTTAAAAGTAAATAATTATAAGGTAAATGTAGCAAAAAAAAAAAAAATTGAAACATGTTAACATGTTACTATGTTACATTTTTAATATTCAAACATATAAGTTATTCTAATTTTCTTATACATTTTATAAGAACCTTTAAGACTTGAAACTGTTTTTTTCTCCAAATAAAAATAATATATATATATAATATTGATATTGTCAGGGTAACAAAGACCTCTACCTTCTACTCCCCCGTAGAGCCTTTAAGTGCGGATTTTACAATGGCTTGGAAATTGTGAGTTTTATTTTTCCCATTCACTCTTGACGGAGAATGAATGGCCGTACAATCGGCCGATTAAGTGGCTCATTAGAAGCCGAGGAGGTCATGTGAACCATTTAGGGAAATTGCATAAGCCATCCACTCGAGTGTTGTATCCCCGGCGACGGACAATGGCGAATAGACACGGGAATCCACGAAGGCCCAAGAAGTTGTGGAGGAACACACCTGTTATAAAAACATCAACCCTCACCTACTGGGCTAATGGAATTTTAACGTTACAAAAAGTGTAACAACCCACCTATCCCAACCCACAAAAACCCGCATCCAACGACCAGAATTAATGCGAGCGTGGGGCGCATGTTGCTAATGTATCTCTTATTAGCGGACGTACGCATCCCCATTCCCCCCCCATCCATTCCTCATCCTTATCCTTAGTCCCCCCGTATTCCGCAGATCCTGCATCCTGTGTCCTCATCTAATCCACTGGAAACATCATTTTGAGCACCTGTTTAATTGCGTTAATCACCAGGAGCAAACATTATTGCCAACGCCATCAGATGTCGGAATGATTATGATGGGGGGTCCTCATCTCTGGGCCCTGATTACCGCCCTTAGCACTTCGACCTTTGGATCCCCTCTTGGGGCCGGGGTAATGCTAATTTTTATGGACTTTCTCCTGGACGCAGCTGGATGAAAGTGTCTTTGTTTCCTTTCGCCATTAGTATAAACTGAACTAGGTATGACAAAGTCCACCAAAAAGTCTGCTTTAATATGAATTTTCAAATGTTTCAGAACTTATATTTTAAATATTACACATAAATTTTTGCTAATTAAGGTTTAACTATTTCAAGACTCGAAATTTTAGAAGGAAAAATATTTTATTTAAATATTGTTTTATTACGTAACATTTTCTTTACAAATGTTTATTAAACCACTAACCATAACAAGACCTATATATTTTTATAGAATTTTTAGAACCATTTATAATTTGTTGTCCAAAGAAATATACCCATTTCCCTAAAATAGATTTAATGGAAACTTACAAAGAAAAGAGGCTTGCAGCAATGAACTATTTTCAAGACATAACTATAAAGGAAAACAGCAAATATAAATGTAAAAATCCAATGGAAACCAAACACTTCACTTGTGTTATCCACAACATAAGTTATTATTAGATCCAGATTTATAAGTGAAATACCTCTATAATCCCCGTAATTGAAAAATGTTTCTTTATTTTTGTTTTATTATTTGACATTTCATTTTCTGGAGTGTTAAAGTCTCTCCGACCATTGTTAAAATCAGCTTCATAAGCGCGGACCAATATACTATAAATGATATAGTAGTCCCAAAAATTCGAGTAAATTTGTTATCAACAATTCCGTTGTTGTGTTACTATGATTTTAATATTACAAGTAGTACCTATGTTTAAGTTAATATTAGATATGTATAATTATATTTTCCGAAAATCGCTTGACTCGAATGCTCCAAAGGCAGAGGACGAAACCAAAATGGTGCTTCTTGATTGAATCAGAAACGTATTGATTGATTTGGTTATTTGTCTCCAAATGAAACCCTAGAACAACCCAGGCAAAGTACGTCACTTTCATCCACCCCTTTCGAGATATCTGACGATGATGAGCGACTACAAGTACTTGTTCAAGATCCTCATCCTGGGGGACTGCGGCGTGGGCAAGTCCTGTCTGCTGATGCGCTTCTCGGACGGCCAGTTTACCGGAAAGTATCTGTGCACGGTGGGCGTGGACTTCAAGGTGCGCACCGTGGAGGTGGCCGGCCAGGTGGTGAAGCTCCAGATCTGGGACACCGCCGGCGAGGAGCGCTTCAAGTCGGTGCTGCCGGCCTACTATCGCGGTGCCCATGGCATCCTGCTCGTCTACGACACCACGTCGGCCAGCAGTTTCCAGAGCATCGATGGCTGGCTGGAGGAGATCCATCGCAATTGCCCGGACGGGGTCAACGTCCAGCTGGTGGGCAACAAGTGCGACGACCTGGAGCGCCGCCAGGTGAGCCAACAGCAGGCGGCCCACTATGCGGATTACCGGGCCATCGCCTTTCGCGAGGCCTCTGCCAAGAGTGGCGCCAATGTGAATCACATATTCGCCGCCTTGGCAGTTCATATTTTCAATCGCCTGGTGGCAAAACCCTCAGCTCCCAGTCGAATGCTGGGCGGGCAGGATACAAAGGACGACGACGAGGTGCCGGTGGACAAGGAGAAGCCACCAGCCCCATCAGCCCCATCAGCCCCACCAGCTCCCAAGATCCGGCTGGCAGGCTCTCATCGCCTGCGGCCCAAACATGTTGCCTCTTGCTGTTGAGAAACTTCCTTCTTATATGTACATATATTTTCTTTAAGTTTTTCTTTCTCCAAGGTCTTCAAAACCAAGACCCAAAAAATATTTGATCATTATATTTTTTTTTAAATAAGCAAATGCATTTTAGACTTAATACCTACACCTGGGTGGGTTGATTTGTATGGTGCCAAAAAGAGTGACAAATCCTTAGGGGGAACGCAATCTTCAAAGGATTGTAAGCAATATTGCCAAACAAACGTATGGTCTAAAATGGTGTTTGTCCTCCCGAACGAATAAAAAATACGATTTCTTGAGGAAAAATATCATGGTTAATAAAAAAATTAATTTTAAAATTGTATGTAGAACAAGAGAAAAGGCTATAGTCGATGGTCTCCACTATTAAATACCCGTTACTCAGATTAAGGGAGTGCGAGAGGGATAAAGATATGCTTAAAGCAACTCAGCTTTTTCACTAACACACCTAGCCTATAGCGCCACCTATCTTTTTCTTCTATAGCACCACCTAGCATATAACGTCAACTAGCTTATAGCGCCTCTAGCGGCTTGGTGGTGTATTAGTGAAAACAGCTGATTTGCTGCACGTGGTGTGCCATTTCGATTGAATTTGAATCACCCTGCTGAAACAAGCTTGCGCTGCGCAGGAGGCCCAAGATCCTGCGTGCCTAGTCCCAACATTCAAGCGCTTATAGTTTCCGAGATCTAGACGTTCGTATGGACAAAGATAGAGAATTAAGATCTTAGATTTAGACTCCGTAGCCTTTTTTAAGTGGTTTTCCAGTCGTAGTTTAGCCAAATCAACGCGTACAGCTAAAATACCGACAGTTTTGAGCAGCTTGCTTGAGTTGCTATCGATCCCCATCACTTTAAGAAAAATTTATTTTTTGACAAATTTTCTCATTTTTTGTAAGGGGGTAGCTCGGTTTTTCTTGGGATTCAGATTTTGGTCAAAAATACTAATTTTTTAGTGGTTTTTCAGTCGTAGTTTAGCCAAATCAAGACCTATAGCTAAAATACCGACAGTTTTGAGCAGCTTGCTTGAATTGCTATCGATCCCCATCACTTTAAGAAAAATTTATTTTTTGACAAATTTTCATATTTTTTGTAAGGGGGTACCTCGGTTTTTCTTGGGATTCAGATTTTGGTCAAAAATACTAATTTTTTAGTTGTTTTTCAGTCGTAGTTTAGCCAAATCAAGACCTATAGCTAAAATACCGACAGTTTTGAGCAGCTTGCTTGAATTGCTATCGATCCCCATCACTTTAAGGAAGATTTATTTTTTGACAAATTTTCTCATTTTTTGTAAGGGGGTAGCTCGGTTTTTCTTGGGATTCAGATTTTGGTCAAAAAGACTAATTTTTTAGTGGTTTTTCAGTCGTAGTTTAGCCAAATAAAGGCGTACAGCTAAAAGACCGACAGTTTTGAGCAGCTTGCTTCAATTGCTATCGATCCCCATCATTTTAAGGCAGATTTATTTTTTGACAAATTTTTTCATTTGTTGTAAGGGGATAGCTCGGTTTTTTTTGGGATTCATATTTTGGTCAAAAATGCTTATTTTTTAGTGGTTTTTCAGTCGTAGTTTAGCCAAATCAAGGCGTACAGCTAACAGATCGACAACAAATTTTTTCATTTTTTTAAGGGGTAGTTCGTTTTTTTTTTGGATTCAGATTTAGTCGTCACCTTACATTCAACGCTGTTACCATGCCTTAAACAAATAAGCTATAAGCTTTTCAAGAGTTTATACAATTACCAAATTTCTTATAGTAGGTTCTCGTATTATTTGGATTTAAGACATACAAGTTCTTGTGGAGTCTCGGATCAAGATAATCAGTAATAATAATAATTTAGGCTGACAACTTTATATAAGGGGACTTTGTGAAACAGTGGAAAAAGGGGGCCTTAAATTAGAGTTGGTTGTCATTTTTATTTTAAAAGGCCTACTTTTACAATCAAAATTTTATTTCATAAAAATTTTAATATTATATTTTATCTAAAGGGTTTATAAAACACAAGTTCTTTATGTGCACTAGTTTTCCCGTTAAAACAGGCTTTTGAAATGTATATTTAACATTCCATAAAATAGTTTTCTTGTTTGATTTTCTCCCCATTTACTTAATTCCCGGGCAATCATCCCCCAGTGTTATACGTGTGCTCTATTATCTCCCTCCTCCACAAGCACAGCAATCAAATCGTTTCGCAATTGTCCGGCCTCAATTTACCCGGGCTTACTTTCATGTCTTCGGAGAGGCCAAACAAGTGGGCGGGTCCCGTTGACCGATAAATGTATCCACCTAATCAAAAGGCCTCGCCCTCATCACCATCTTCTTACGACTTTGAGTCCGGGTTATGGCCGAATAATATTTATATTATAATATTGCCTAAGATGTAATTGCATCTATCAGTTTTAAGGACTACAGTATCTACGATCATTATTAAAAACAAGTTTTAAATTTCAGGGACACTTAAGATATAAATTTTTATTAAAATACAAAAAACAATAAAGAAATTTAATTTTCTTGCAGTTTATTTGTATTTGTATTTGTATTTTAATTACAATTTATTGTTTTATCATGAACATGAACATCATGAACTCAAATAATTGGGTGTTTACATATCGTAAAATAATATTGATTGAAAAAAAAATTTTCTTGCCATTACTTGCGAATAATAAATAATAAGTATCGAATGACAATTTAGAGCGCAATGGGTTTGTCGATGGAACGGTGAGAGTTCTTAAATAGAAAGCTTAGATTAAGTTAGGCGTGTCAAGAGTTTGGACAGCTAAGGCGGTGCCGGATAAACCCAAGTGACGTTGGCCTCCTCGGCGTACTTGGCGAACAGCTGCGTTAACTTGCCGAGCAGAATATCCTGGCTGGCAGGGGACAGGTTGCCAACGGCATTGGCCCAGTTCTTCAGCACCAGGCCCGGACTGCAGGTGGTCAAGTTGATCTCCGGCACGAATCGCTGCGGTTCAACTTCCTGAGCTGGTTCCGCAAGCGATTGGTTGAGCTGCTGCGGCGTGCGGACTGTGAGAGGGCCATTGGGCTTCACCTGCTTGTAGATCTCTGACATGTGCCGGAAGTACTTGTGGCCCATGGTGCAGCGGTGCATTGGATCCGTGATCTTCAAGAAGCGCATCTCGCGTAGAGCATACTGCAGACCCAAGCGGCATTCCGTCACTGTGAAGAAATTTCACAAAATATAGTATTAAATAAATCCAAAACAATGAAATAACTAGGTTTGGGGATACTTGGGGAAAATTTAGTTATTAGCACAAACCTACAAGACAGTAACCTTTCTATTTATGGACCTGTGTTTCTTCAAGTTTTAGCAAGCATTTTATACATATAGAAAATGTATATAATGAAGAAAACTGATTTAAAAATAAAATAAAACCTCTTTTAGTCAAACATGCATGCATGCAAAGTGTGTATAGCCTATAAACCTTCAAACTAAAATTCTTCTAAATGCTTTCTTTTGCTAAAAGATTATTATTATATCTAAAATCCCTGCCCGTTCTTGCATACCTGTGGCATTCAGCTCCTTGGAGACGCGGACCCAGGCAGTCCGCTTGTCGATGGTGCTGGCCCGCTCAAAGGTATGCGGATGGCGGCGCAGTACATGGGTCAGCTCAAAGGCCTCGATGGTGGGCAGGTTGCTGGCGGGGCGTTTCATTACAGGGAGCCGTTTCTGGGCGCTGCCGTTGCGTTGCTGCACTTTGACTCTGTCGCTTGGCGATTTTGTTACTGCGTTGGACTCTACAGCGGGAGTCTTTGTGGGCACGGCCGTGCCATCAGGTACGGGAATAGGAGGGGCAGCGGGTGTCGGGATCGGAGCTGCAGCGATGTTACTAATCGTATATACGCTTTTCGAAACACTCAACTTGCCGGTAAGCAAACGCTTAGCCTCCTCCGTCTCCCACGGCAATGGCTCCTTGGATAGGCGGGCCAAAAGGACCGCAGGCGTGGGCTTCTTCTTATCGGTAGGATCGGCGGACATGAGAGCCTCGTACATGCTGCAGCGCTTCACCTCCTCGGCGATCTTGTTGTGCACAATGTAGTAGTAGGGCTCAAGGGGATGATAGCGCACATCGGCCAGGAACCTGAGCTGCTCCAGGGCCTGCCACCAGTTCTGTGGCCAGGGATTCTCGATGCCACGCTCCAGATCCTCCATGTACGTGCGGAAGGCGAACTTAAACATAGACCAAACGTCCCGATGATTGACTGCAATACGACAGAGAGTTATAAAGAAATGGATAAGAAAAACTAAAGATATCACAATTGAAACCTACGATTGGGGAACTTAATGCGGGCCTCGCGCCACACCTCCTGTCGCTCTTGATCCGTGTACTGGCGCGGAGGTACCAACTCCTCGCCAGGTCGCGCCTTGCGCAGCTCCCAGTAGAGGTGCTCATGATGCCGGAAGTGGCGGATCACATCCGGCAGCACGTCCTTGTGTTCCATCCATAGGTACTTCCGAGCTATTTCGTCAAACTTGCTGAACAAGCGGTGCGACTTCTCCCACACCTTCACGCTGGCCTTAAACGGACGCATCAGCTCCGACATTGGCGCAATAAGCGGAAACACACTGATGTTCTTCGCCAGGAACTTCCAAACTGCGCGCAAAGCGTCCTCTGTAAGATGGAATAAGATTAGTTTGCGCTTCTTTAGATTATGATGAAGTACCGACCAGGCATGTGGAACTTCTTCCCGATAACCTTCCAGAACTCATCACACTTGGCGACCAATTGCGGGTCCTTTTTGTGCAGCTGGGGCACAGCCATCACCTCGCGTATCAGGGTCGCCGTCCTAACCATATTGAGATTGTAGCGAGTGGCATGGTTGTCGCACAAAATGTGCAGCATGTTTCCAGTGGTGGGACTCTCGTACAACACCACGGTAATTTCCTTAACAGCATTCTCTAAATGATTGTTGGCTGATAATGTTGTTGCATCCTTATCTGGCTGGGATACCGCTGTTGCTGTTGCATTGACTGCAGTTTTTGCATTGGATACAGTTTTCTCATTAGCCATAGGTTGTGCATTAGCTACTGCGG